AGGGATTTTCTATCAGATTTTTAGCGACTTTGTAACCGTTATACAATGCTATTGCTAGTGGTCAAGGCTGCAATTTTTGAATGAATTAGGTAGAATGACGAATGCATCCTTTTGCTCTCATTTTATTCTTCAATTCAAAAGGACATATTAGTAAAATGGTTCCTGTGAAGTCAATAATTACTACAGATTCAAAAACCCATCTATCATGCAAACGGTCAAAAGTTGGATTAAAATTGGGGCAAATTCGTTACCAGACACGGACTAAGAGGAAAATATAAATAGTTCAACAATTAAGTTCGTTGGAATGCGGAGATACAATTACCAGAAAATAAAAAAAAATCTTTAATTAAAAAAAAAAAGACTACCTAGATGTTCACGTATATGTTATACCAAGGATAAATGATTTGAATTTTTGCCTTAATTCTGGAATTAATACCGATTCATGAACTTCCAATTTTTTGGATCAGAGCTTCCAACTTTTTAATTCCGTGAATTTGATACTCCAAATCTCCAAGTTTTCTATGGTATTTTCCAAAATCAATACTACATAATTGGATAGGCACCTTCTTTGAATTAAATCAATAAATTAATTATTGGATCGAACTATTGAATAAAATAAGAAAATAATTTCTCTTTTTCTGTAATTTGAACACTATAAAATTATGTATTATGATTTGTTATATTCAATTGTATGTCCAGGCTCCAGCTAGTCTCTATTTATAGAGATAAAATAGTTACAATCCATATACGATAAGAATTTCCCATTCAAATAAGAGTTTTAATTAAAATCCAAATAACAGTTTTAATTAAAGTCTAAGTCCAATTGGTTTATATTTAATTACATGTGTAGTCCTAGAATTTCAATTACAATTTAGTTTACAATTTTCATAATAATTATAATTAAATACAAAATTTTATTATAATTATAATTAAGCCCAAAAATTTTATAATAATTGCAATTAATTCCCAATACTTTATAGAGTTACCACATGGACCTGATCATGCATATTTTATTCAAATTCCAATAATTAGATCATGTTCAATCGGCATTAGATCACTCAATCTAATTATTAGTATTTTTTTCACTAAAAGCAAAAGACTGAACTCCTGAAATATATAAGATCGCATAAGTCAATAAATCTGTAATACTTTTTTTTGACCTGCCGTATATATATTTTTATCCCCGTTCGAGATTCGATAATTAGGTACAAGCATAAATGCATATTTTGCCCTTCCAATTATTCTCAGTTACTTAAGTATCATTTTCTTCGACGGTTTTTTGAACTAATCATAGATGTCGAATTTAAACCGTTTAATAGAAAATACTTAAATAGTCACTCTACCCAATTTTTCAAGGCGACGATTTTCGACACGAATTCATATTCTCTACTTCGCTCATTCTCAAACTTCCAACTCACAAAGATATTTGACCAATTAGATTGATCTCACCTATTGGTAAATCAGAAAACTATTAAAGTCACGAAAATATATACATAACTCTGTCACGGATTTAGATGAAATACGAGGGGAATTTAATTCTCCTCACGGTCATGCTATATAATTAAACTGGACACGTGGTCCATTCAATACACTACAAGTGTACTGTGTCACCTTTAACCATTTATGTGATAAGGACAAATCACAAACTTGAATAACCAATCGATCAACACTACAACCTTCCAGTACAAAATATCAACCCTTATACATTGGTTGTGAACATTGATACTTTAATTCGCATGCTAAATAATAAATGAATGCAATAAATAAATAAAATCACAATTATTTATTATAAAATATTATTTTATTATAGCAAAATATGCTACAGGGGCACACAACCCAACAAGGTTACTATGAGCTTGTTTGGGAGAGATCTTTGGGGGAAGAATTGATTTTGAATAGTGATATGATGGGAAATGTGTGGTTGAAAAAGAAGAAAAAATTTAAAATATTATTTTATTGAAGAATGTGTGGTTGAAAATGAGAATTGATTTACTGTAGAAAATTTTAATTTCTCCCAAACAGGGCCTATGTTTGGAAGCTGAAAAAGTGTTCTTTTGATAATTTGATTAGAAAGGTTGAGCCATTAGTCCCAAACTATGTGCCCTATGGCGATGTTGTCATCATGTATAGGTTAGTGATGATTTCGATTACTAGGCTTTCACCATCTAATGAGCAACACTTGTACTACTCCACCAAGCAGCACAATGTTTATATTGCTCTCTCCCAACCCCGTTAGAAGGCCTAGTACACTGCAATGTATGATTTGATCCAAATTCTAATTTTACACATTCCAAATTTAGAAGCCGTCATGCCAATCAATCTAATAAGCTTTTTTTTTTTTTGTCCAATACAATCCCAATATATTGGTTTAGATGTGCACTTAAGGGTTTGCCGTATGTATTGTTCTTGCCTATGCAAGAAATTAATCTATATTAGAATCTTAGATTCCACTAGCATATTGAATAGTGAGAGTAAAAATAATCTCGATACAAATTTGCAAGAGTAAAAATCTGTCGTGGTATGTCTCCATTGAATAGTGAGAACGTCAAACTTTCAAATTTTTGTGTTAATAATTACAAGTGAACATGCTTTATTCAATAATAATAAGAAAAGTGAATATTGTTCAACAAAAATTAAGAATTTATTTATTGACTCTAAATGGGCAAGTAGTTCTTGGACATGCAATTCACTAAACAGGTTTTCCCCTTGTGCGGGGGAAAATTGTCCAGAAGCCATACATGTGCTGTGTTGCGCTGGCAACACCTGTGTGATTGCATTTTTTTTTTTCATTTTTTGCCAAGCATCAATGACTATATGTCACATCCCACCCTATAAAAGCCTATACATTTTCCCTTGTACGCTAGCAGGGCTCTTCAATAAACTGAAAGGTGGGATCCAAATGCTCTTGACAACAACCTACTTTTATATGATTAGACCGATTTGATCAACATTCACGAAGCTTCACTCGAGACTAGGTGGTTACATTATAACCATTTAACTAGATGTCATGTAGTTTTCTACAGGTTTATAAATTCTAGTAGCTATTGTAACTTTACCGAGTCCCTATTTGATAGGGATTAAAATCTAAATTTTATTTTATGTCAAAATCAACACTTAATTTTAATCATATATTTTATGGATTTCATCAACTTTTATTAAAATCTACTGAAAATTTGATTTTAATTCTTACCAAACAATGGCTAAATTGAAACAACATAATGATTTGTTATCTAGACATATTTAGGGTAAATACCAGACAATGCCCTTAAGTTTTCATTTTATTTGCAAATCCATCCCAACCTTTTTTCTAGACAATGGTGAATTCAACCTTTAGGAAATTAGCACCATCCATCCAAATTACCGTATTTCCTTCGAATTACTTGCACATTTGCTGGTCAAGTGGGTTGATTAATGGAAAAATGATGAAATTCATTCGAATGACATTAATGTTTCAAAAGGTTGGACATAATTTTTCAAAAGGTTGATGACCGACTTATAAATGAAATGAAATCAATTTTTATCGTGTTAAATATTGGTCAAATATACACCTAGTTGCGGATGTTCTTCCTCCCAAATTTTCTTGTAAAATTGAATTGATCAATCAATTGGTTGAATATCTGCCAATGTCCACATTTTTGTTTAAAATTGAGAAAACGGAAATATAAGCCCCTGTTTGGGGCAAATTATTTGCCCAAAATAATGAGAATTATAGCCGTTAACCATCAAATCATCTGAAAATTGTTGACTTCTCTAATCTTGTGTGGGGCCCAACATTGACTCCAACGACTGGAATTCTCATTCTTTTGCCCAAAAATTGTTGACTTCTCAAGTCTTGTGTGGGGGCTTTGACTCTAACAGCTGAAATTCTCATTTTTTTGCCCAAAATAATGAACCTCAAACAGAGGCTAAGACTTATAATTTGAATACCGCTAGAGAGAATCATAGTAACGAATCAAATGAGTTTGAATTGGTCGAATTTAAAAGATTGGATGAACAAGACCAAGATGAACCAGGGAGGGTGAAGATGAGCTGATTTGCCTGATCATGTTTGACGAAAAAAATGCTATCTTATAAGTTGATGATCCATGAATTGTGTGGTGCAAAATCCACACAACTAGCTTATATGCTAGATGAGTTGAAAATTCCTAAATTATCTATATTATAAGTTGCGAAATCCATTCTAAAGTGAATCTTGGACAACATAATTTGTGGATCCCGAGCTCATAAGCTTGCACATGCTTTTGCCAAACATGGTAAAAGAAAATAAGGATATTTTGATCTAATAGTCAGAGTTGAACGTGCACTGTACGTTATTCTAAAATATAATAGCTGTAAAAGTAATATTTAATTACAATTTATTTGGAGATTTTGATGAGTCTCAAACGAACAAAAGAAAATAAAATTTATTAGAATATAAATTTAAGAGAAGAAAATTTTACTCTCAAAACTTAACTTTCATGATCAAATTTTTGGGGATGATGAAATACTACAAATGAATAATATTTTTATACTATATTTGGTACATAAAAATTAATTACTAATACATGAATTTAAAATTTAAACACCCATTAAAACTCATAAATATATTAAAAATAAATTCATCTATGATAACTCTAGATTTATGTAGATCAAAATTTATCAAATCAAGATTCATTGAGCCTATATTAATGTGAATATTAATTAATTGAGAATTATAAACACGAAATTCATAAATAACAAGGATTTTATAATATTTATTACATATTGAAAATAAAAAGAAAGATATTATTGAAATAATTAAATTATAATATGAATAAAATCGTTCAAAAAATGACTATATATGATATTTAATAAAGAAAAATGATAGATGTATTGAAAACTAAGGTTAATTAGAAAAAAAATTGTATGAGAGGGGCCTCTTATTTCTTCATCGCACGCTGTAAATTAAATTCCTTTCGAATTTTCCTAAAATAAAAAAAGCAAAGATAATAGAAAAGTGTCCGTCGTCTCTCCGCCAGAAAATGAACACGTTAAAACTTCCTCCGGCATTCCACCTCCGCTTCCCTCCACCACATGTCCCTCCCCCGCCGTTCTTCCGCCGCCACCAGCACCATCTTCTTCTCCTTCGAACTCCACTCTTTTCCACTCATTCTTCTGCCTCTTCAACCACCGCACAACAACTGAATTTCACCAACCAAGAATATGAAGAATTAGAGGACGACCCATACGACGTCGCTTCCCTCCCAAACCCTCACTACGACTTCACTCCCCTCCTCACCTTCCTCTCATCCTCCCAGTATATCCCTAAATCTGAGCCCGACCCGCCAACCCGACTCGACCCGGCGGAGCTTCAACTCGCAGAGTCATACCGAGCGGTTCCTGCCCCTCTGTGGCATTCCCTCATAAAATCCCTCTCCTCGTCCTCTTCTACAATATCTGCCGCGTACTCTTTAGTCACCTGGCTTCAAAAACACAATCTTTGCTTTTCATATGAACTTCTGTACTCCATTCTCATCCACGCGCTCGGACGCTCCGAGAAGCTCTACGAAGCTTTTCTTTTGTCACAGCGTCAGACACTAACCCCATTGACATATAACGCACTGATTGGGGCTTGCGCGCGCAATGGTGATCTCGAAAAGGCCTTAAATTTGATGCAAAAAATGAAGGGTGATGGTTACCAATCTGATTTTGTGAACTATAGTTTGATTATTCAGTCACTTATAAGGAATAATTCTGTAGATGCAGGGATATTGGAAAAATTGTATAATCAAATGGAGGCTGATATGATTGAGTTAGATGGGCAGTTATTAAACGATATAATTGTGGGGTTTGCTAAGGCTGGGGATATAAACCGTGCATTATACTTTTTGGGAGCGATTCAAGGGAGAGGGCTGAGTCCAAAGACAAGTACACTTGTGACAGTGGTGAATGAGTTAGGGAATATGGGGAGGATTGAGGAGGCCGAGGCAGTTTTTGAAGAATTGAAGGAGGGCGGTTTAAAACCTAGAACAAGAGCTTATAATGCACTTTTGAGAGGGTATGTGAAGGTTGGTGCTTTAAAGGATGCAGAATATGTTGTGTCAGAGATGGAGGAGACGGGGGTTTTGCCCGATGAGCAAACATATAGTTTGCTTATTGATGCATATGCAAATGCCGGGAGGTGGGAGAGTGCAAGGATTGTGTTGAAGGAGATGGAGTTGAATGATGTTAAGCCGAATTCTTATGTTTTTAGCAGGATCTTAGCAAGTTATAGGGATAGGGGAGAGTGGCAGAGATCATTTCAAGTTCTCAAGGAGATGAAGAATTGCAGGGTAAATCCTGATAGGCAGTTTTACAATGTGATGATTGATACATTTGGGAAGTATAATTGTATTGATCATATGATGGCTACATTTGAGAGGATGAAAGTGGAAGGGATTGAACCAGATACTGTGACGTGGAATACACTTATAGATTGCCATTGTAAACAAGGGCACCGTAATCGGGCGGAGGAATTGTTTGGGGAAATGCAGGAAAGTGGTTGTTTGCCTTGCACCACGACATACAATATAATGATAAATTCTTTCGGAGAGCAAGAGAGGTGGAATGATGTGAAGGAATTGTTGGGAAAGATGCGGAGTCAGGGACTATTACCCAATGTTGTCACTTACACAACACTCATTAATATATATGGAAAGTCGGGCAGATTTAATGATGCAATTGAGTGCCTGGAGGTGATGAAGTCTGCCGGGTTGAATCCATCTTCCACCATGTATAATGCACTAATCAATGCCTATGCACAGAGGGTATGTGCTCTGTACTTCAGTTAATTCTTGCTCAGCGTCTTTGTGAAAATGATGATTAGAGGATGTTTTGATAAGCTGAAAAGTTACTTAAAAGGACGTAGTTCTTGATAAGTTACTTCTTAAGTAACTAGTAGATTAGCCAAACATGCGTTTACTAAGCATTCATGTTCTTTTTAATATCAACCTTGTGTGTTTAACTACTCATTACTTCGTTATATGCTGAACTACCAACATTAACAATGTTATTACATGGCTTATTATATCGTGATATGGATTTGATGTTGACTATGCATCTGATATTAGCCTGATATGATTGTTGACAGGGATTATCAGAGCAAGCGGTAAATGCATTTAGAGTCATGAGAGGAGATGGTCTTAAACCTAGCTTATTAGCTCTCAATTCATTGATCAATGCATTCGGCGAGGACAGGAGGGATGCTGAAGCCTTTTCTGTGTTGGAGTACATGAAAGAAAATGTGAGTGAATGTGTTAAAGTTTAATTCTTTAAATTTGGATATTTAAATGCTTTTCTTACAGTCCAGTCGGATGCTAATGTTCTCCTGTGACTGCAGGACCTGAAGCCAGATGTTGTCACATACACCACACTCATGAAAGCATTAATTCGCGTTGAGAAATTTGAGAAGGTACATTTAATTTCGAGCACTCTCTATATCGTAGGTATATTTATTTTTTATGTTCTAAACTTTAAGCTCCACGGTAATATTTTTTGTGAACAGACCCTTTTAATCTTATGCATTCTTGTTAATCTTCTTTAGCTCATTTCAGGTTCTGTGATCCATTCAGTTGTTCTTCTTTTTAAGTTTCATAGTTTCTAAAATATAAATCAAGGCATGAGTAATGGGCACATATTCTGAGAATGAAATAAGACAGCTCAAGGAACATTGGTCTGAGATTCATCACAAACCACTACGAGCATTTTGGCTAAATTACATTATGATTCATGCTGGTCAAAAATACTTTTTATTAACACATACCGTAGGTTCCACAACTTACTACCAATTTATTATTCACAAATTCTGTGGGACCCGCAGCTTATAAGCACTACTAAACAATTACTATGAACATTATCTCTCAATGCAAAACACTTATCAAACATGCCAAGATATGTAACCGTTACTTTTTAAATCTTGCCTTTTCCCCTATCCAGGATGTCGTGCTTAGTTATTTTAGGCATCGACATCGTACGTGCCCATAAAAGATACTGTAGAACACTCTTTAGCCTTTGTTTGATTTTTATTTTTATTTAAGTTCATTTTCAAACTTAAATATTAATTTTAGCCACACATTTTATAGGACCACAAGTAGTACCCACTTATCCCTCATTCATTTCTACCAACGTATAAACTTAGCAAAAAAAGAAAAAAAGAAGCAAAGCTTAATATTTGATAATCTCAGGAGATGGAAAAAATATTAATTACTAGAGCTATCAGTTAAACTTTCCAAATACTTTAATGCGCCAAGAAATTTTCTTTACGACTTTCAAGTTTTATACCCTTCTTTCAATCCGAGTTCGACATTTATACTTTCACTTGTATCTTTCTCGTAAGAAACGAGGAGACCATATTCTTGCCTTCAAAGTATAATATTGACTGAGAATCGGTCTTTCCTATCACAGATGCTATATATTAGTTCTTAAGAAAAAAAATACGTGCTAAACGAACTTGGAAAAACTTCTAAAATCTTTTTGAACTCAATGAGTTAGAGGTTCTCATGATTTTTTCTATGTTTTAGAAGAACTTGATGCAAATAAATAACAAAATTTTGATTTTTAAGTATTTTACCATAACATACAATGCACTTGCAAGTCCATATAGGACTTATTTGGCAATCATCATCTCTGTCATTGGCTTATCTTCAGCCTTATCTCTAAGTCCAAGTTATTTTTGGATTAATTAGCTTTTAGCCCTCCTGGAATTTCCAATCCACATACAATAATTAGGCACTTCAAGTCTTGTGAAGTTTTAATTGGAGTTTTCCACTTGGAATGCTCAATTACTTGTCAACTGCTGTACTTTCCTTATGATAGTATATATTTTGCATAATTCATAACATGACTATGTATTGATTAGATTTTAAACGTCAAACCATATTTACCCCATTGTAGTAAAAAACACTACAAAAAGACTTTTCTCGAAATTGTAGTTAGTAGGTGATATATTTATTAATTTGAGACCTGAACTTTTATAGGTCACTAAGATTATCTACTTACCAATATTAAATACTAGAGCGTGTCTTTACATGTGTGCCGCAGGGGTGGACCCATTAATGGCCCAGTGGGGGCTGCCCCCACTGCCCTTAATTTTTGGCAGTTACAAAGTAGTCCTTGTAGTTTTTTAGTCCATAATTTTAAGTTTTTAACCCATAATTTTTACATAATTCTGTCTCGCCCCCACTGAATCACGTTCCTAGGTCCGCCCCTGATGTGCCGTGTCTGACTGTCTTCAACTTATCATCTACACAATCACATAATTCTAGTTGGCATAATGGTATAAGACGATTTCCTGGAAGAAGTTGGGAATTATGTAGTATTTAGCTGATTTATTATTTGTTCCATACTTCCCGTCTAACGCAGCCATCCTGCACGTTCTAGGTTCCTGATGTTTATGAAAAAATGCTTCTTTCTGGATGCACCCCAGATAGAAAGGCCAGAGCAATGTTAAGATCTGCTCTCAGATACATGAAGTCAACACTGCAATCGTAGTTGATTCGTGTTTAGTCGTCTGGCCAAATCAAACTGCAGGATCAATGGCATATTGGTATATATCACTTGAATCCTTGACTTGAGGTTAGTTATTTGATCCTCGATGAACTATAACAGATGGGACTGGACTATCTTAATCTTTCCTATTACACATTCCATAATGAGTTTTCAGCTTCTGAAGCAATAATAAATGATATGCGACTTTTTATTGAAAGGGATTGCATTCTATTTTCATTCTGAAGTAAATCATCACTTTGGAGAATAACTGCTGCTTTTTTTGCATTCATATTTAAATTCATTTGATTTTTATGTGCAGGTTGGTTCGTGATTTGTCATTCATATTCTACTTCAACTGTGATATACAACAAAATCCAAGACATTTGATTTTAGAAGTTCGGGAATGAAGCCAAAATGACTTTTAACATATTCACCAAAAGAAAAGGTTCAGTCTGCCTGTATATGTACAAATATCTGAATTTTAATATAATTTTCACTGTATTTTCTGAGAAACATATCAAGATCTTGTTGATATATGTTAATTTGTTGTGCTCGTGACATTCTCTGTAGCAGGATGTTTAATTCAATTGAATACAAGGGGCAAATTTTGGCAGTTCTAACTTTTATCAGTCGCCATTCTTTTGCAGTTATTATTATTTTTTTTGAAACTGGTATTGACATTTGGGAATCACAGATTTTGGCAGTGTTTTACAGGAATTATTGTGCATGTCAGCAAATTACAATTCTTTGATGAACCTGCTGCATTTTGCTTACATTTTGAACATGAAGATATCGAAGGGACAAAGAATCACATGTAAGACATCTTGAAAAGGAGAAGAATGTATGAGAATGCCGGACACTCATTCAATTCCCTATCTTGTGTATACAGATTATACTGTCATCCAAACCCAATAAACTAATGGCCCAAGAGGTGGGCCTGGGCAAGGTCTATAGGCCCACTCTCTGGTGGGATCCTGGGCTTGTTCTCCTAGCCCAAGAAGGAAGAAATGACGTGTACATCTATATCTTCTTTATTAATCCTCGTGAGGTTTATAAAAAATCTAATCCTCCGAAATTTTAATGCTTGAAATGAGAATGATCAAACAACAAAATCAATCATTTTCGTTGGTCATTAACTGCACCTCATTTCCTGCTATTTAAGTAGTATTTATGCGGAGATTAGGACGGTGAAAAGTGGATTATTCTAAAAGAAATTTGAAGATTGTGTCAAGAATATGAATTAAACTTCAAGTACAGGAAAATAATTTACAGAAGTTTAACAGAATACTCACAAAGCATGGGGCCCATGTGTATTAAATAAAAAAAAGAATTCTCATCCACCCATCCCACATGTGAGAAGGTTTTGGATTCCTGTACTTCTTCTGACATATATTTCCAGTACTTGTAGCATCATTCCAAGAATATTGAAGTAAAAAAAGAAAAAGAACTACAGGGATAAAGACAACTAGACGAGTTTGCCATCTTCATTGACCATACCAAGTGGATATAACTTACATTTTTACCAATTTGACCAATACCAAAACTGGTTCTTACGCATCTGTTCATATTTTTCTCGATTTCATCACCTCCTTTAACATGAATACCGTTATGTAATTGTAAAAATGAATAGTTGCGACTCTTGTGATGAATTATAACTCCTTGGAAAGGTGTATAACATCTAAGATGTTTCTTGTTTGAAATAGGCTTCTGATACACACTTGTGAGAAACCTTTTGACATTATGTCAAAAGTCAGTTCGTTTGTCCCATTGATTTTCCTGTATTATAAATCAATCCTTTGCATCTTTCTCTAACAAAACCTTGTTTATACTTTTTCATTCTAGAGGACAGAGCATAAAACTCGAGTATTGATATCTTCAATACATGCAAAGAGTTCCTTTCTGTAGCAAGAAATGCATCTCATATAAAGAAACAATAAGTTGCATGAAATAATGTCGATACACTCATCTTAACATATAATGGTGAATACAGCTTTCCCAATATTTTGGGTAGCCAATTTATCACCAACTCCCATGTAAAAGGCATCATACTAGAAATACTACAGTTTGCTGTTTCTGGAAAGGCTTCCCATGCCTTTGGCTTTCTGCCTGAGAACATATTTCTGCGTCTTTCCAGTCGATGTTTTAGGCAAATCCTCGAAAACGACTGTTCGAGGAGCCATGTAATGTGGTAACCGATCACGACAGTACTTAATAATTTCTTCTGCACTTGCATAACAACCATCCTTAAGTTTCACAAAAGCACACGGCGTTTCGCCCCAGTAATCATCGGGTCTTCCGACGACAGCAGCATCAAAAACGGCTGGATGACTGAAAATCATGGACTCCACTTCAATTGTACTTATATTTTCTCCTCCAGAAATGATTATATCTTTTGACCTATCTTTTAATTCTATGTAACCGTTTGGATGTTTTATGCCTAAGTCCCCGCTCCGAAACCACCCTCCCTTAAAAGCATCCTCTGTTGCTTTGACATTTTTCAGATAACCATTCATTACAGTATTACCCCTAAACATTGCCTCCCCAATAGTTTTTGCATCCGCAGGAACACTCTTCATTGTAACAGGATCCATGATGTCGACTTCTTCCATGCCAAGATGGTGCAACCCTTGACGAGCCTTAATCTTCGCGCGTTCCTCGGGAGGTAAGGAATTCCATTCGGGTTTCCATGTGCAAACAGTTCCCGGGCCATAGGTTTCTGTCAGACCATACGAGTGAGTTACATTGAATCCAAGCTCCTCCATCTTAAATAATACTTGCGGAGGTGGTGGCGCTCCGCCTGTCATCACTGACACCTTTCCCGGAAGAGGCATTTGTTCACTAGCTGGTGCATGGATAATCATGTTCAAAACAGTTGGTGCGCCACCCATATGAGTCACCTGGTGCTGGAATATACTGTCAAATATACCCTTTGCAGTAACACTCCTTAGACATACATTCGTACCACCCTGCGCTGCCACGGCCCAAGTAAGGCACCAGCCATTACAGTGGAACATTGGGACTGTCCATAAGTAGACAGGCATCGACAGCATTTCATTAAGAAGAACTGCAGCAAGAGCGTTGAGATATGCTCCCCGATGACTATAAACAACACCTTTTGGGCTCGAGGTAGTGCCTGACGTGTAATTAAGAGAAATTGGATCAAACTCATCGTTAGGCCGTATTACCGCAAAATCAGGTCTTCCGGTTGCTAGGAGAGACTCATATTCCAAATTTTCTGATGTAGAAATCACATTATTGACATCAACGCATGAACGATAAGAGTCAGAGATTAATACTAAATAAGGCAACTTGGTGTTCGTCTTGGATAAAAAATTTAATGCACCCTTGGCAACATCAAGGAACTCGTAATCAATAAATATGACTTTGGCTTCTGAATGCTTTAGTAATTTTGACAACATTCCCGAATTGTGACGTATATTAAGCGTGCAAAGGACTGCTCCAACCATTGGTACAGCAAAATGTAGCTCGTACATTGCAGGAATATTTGGGGCCAAAGCAGCAACCTACCACATCATTTGTTTACCATAAGGAATGTGAAATAAAGTAATAGTTGATCCAAGAAAAACATATAGTACTTCCTGTTTTGGAAAAGAAGATCATTATTCAGTGCCATGCGCAAAATACAATAGAAGCAATACAGAAGAAAGATGAACACCTACGTGAAATGAAGAATTTATGACATATTTTGAAGCCTTATTTATTAAAAATAAGAATTCAAGTCTCAAGAGGGAACTGAAACATAGATTAGAAACTAACAAAGACAAGGGCTCGAAAATATGAAGCTGCAGATATTCAACATACTAAATTGAAGAGACTATATTAAATAAAAGGAAGAAGTTAAAATGATGTCTATCGTAAAATCCAGTATGGTTTGATACAGCATCTAGTCTGTATTGAGTAGTAAAATAGGTAAAGATTCTAGCTTTTTTTTTCTTCCTCAATACTTTGTAGTGTTGGTGATATTGTATAGAGAAATGGTTGTTTGTTTAAGTGACAAAAAAAATAGTTTAAGTTCAATTCACGGGAGCGCAATTAAACTTTATGAAATAGAAGCAAAAAAGAAAGAAAGAAAATGAAGAAAAGATGAATAATGAAATCCGAGGCAAGTGATTAACACTTTCTCCTTAAAACAAAATTGCCCCGTAACGGTACTAACGGATTATGACACTTATCTTTTAAGATACAACGGATACAACTTGTAGTAAAAACACTTAAAACCACAAGCAATGGCGAACTCAAACGAAATTCTTCCCTCTACAAGAAGATGATTTTTGGAGAGTTTTTCAAGAGTTTTTGATATAATGTTCAATACAAATAATATGGAATGCATAATGGACGTCCAAAGGGTCCTATTTATAGAAAAAGAGAGGTTGTGAGTGAAGTGTCACAAACTCAACAACCTTTACAAAGGGAAGCATCTCTTGCTGTCACTAGCCTTTCGCTCGAGCAACAGTGACAACTATTCATCAGAAACTTTGTCTCCCGCCTGTCGCTCGAGCGACAGTCTCATCGCTCGAGTGCTAGGCGAGCGATGGAGTTAGCCAAATGTTCCGGCCACTTTCTCCACTTTTCTTTTCAACTTTGGACCGTAATTTCTCATTCATCCGAAATTGGTTTTGAAATTTCAAATATACTATGACGATCTACTTGACAAGTGAACAAGTTAATCTATTTATATTTATAATTTGACTATCGGATCAAGTTCGACTATTTGGCCTAAGTTGACACAAAGTCACTTTTCAAACTTTATACTTAACTAAATTTTCCAATCTTTAAACAAATTCCAACATGTAGTACTATCTAATCCATCTTATCAAGCATGCCACTAGTATTCTTTCCGAGTATGTTGAACCCATCTGCTTAATGATGAAACCCCAGTTCCAATTTCGAGAACAATTCTAAGGTCTTTAGTTTTTACATAACCCAGCATAATTTCCGATAGTTTAGAATGTTCATCTAGTAAAGTTTCTACATGTTAAGTTTCAGGCTACTCTCACATGTTCCCAAAAAAGTAACTATATCAACCAAAACGGTTGATCAAATTTCCCATCTGGTTTGTTTGGCACCTTCAACTTATATTTTTGGAATTTGAAATAATAAAAAGCAATTTAGATTTGCAATTAATTTCTCTACTTTACGAAACGAAATCCAAGATCCTCTTAAGTGCTTCAAACTGCAGCCTAGTTATCATGTTATGCAATGATATTCTCAATCTCATAATAACATATATTGCCATAAGCATGTATAGCAAAAGCCAAAACTGCTAAGTTGCATTCCATCCAGTGTAAGCTTGATAATATGGAACGTGACATGGCATACCCAAACTCCCTAATAAGAGAAAGAAATGATGTGATATTTTCAATTACTTTGCATTAGTCCCAATTGTGAAAATTAATTTTTCTAAATAGAACAACTAAGATGGTGTGCCAAGTCCATTTTATTTTCTCATTTTGTGATTGTTTGTTTGCTTTAACAGGTTTCAGTTAAAGCATCCCC